ATTCGTCAACCTGCTACCTTTTTGTGTTTCCGTTTGAAGTTTAGAATCGGTTGAATTTAATTGAGTTGTTGCATTATTTAAATATTGATTCATGTCAGCCATTAGTTGTTTTAGGTTACTTTCAGTGTATATCATCGCGTTCATATGAGTGGATAAACTCGAAACATCATTGCAAGTGCAAGAACCGGTAATATGACCACCAGATCCAGATAAAGATGTAGATGTTAGAGAATCACATTGTCCTTGGTGTCCTATCTTCATATCATAAGTGCATTGTCCGTTTTTTAAATTACACTGTGTTTTTCCATTTTGAATCATTGGCAAAACCAGGAAAGTATACATCCAAATTTTACAACCTAACATTTTCTCTTATTGTTTTATCAGTAATATAAGTGTATTTCACTACAACAATCACACAATTGATTTAGACATACGATAAGAAACTAATTGTTAGGTCACGAATTTATCAATGTACAGGGACAGATTGCAATTGAACTCATTTATAGATTGAAACAACCGTGAAACACAGTCCTATACAAAATCCCTTTACTTTTCTTTTTCTTTTTAATTTCATACTTTACCGCTGCTGGTAGACTATCAGTCCCCGAGGGTATCATCAGCTCAGTAGCCAGTACTTCGGTATTGACATGAGTTATGATAAACCTTTCTCAATTGTCCGTTTATAGATTTAGAAATTATTCCGAAACTACGGTTTCCACTCCCCTTCGGGAAAGGTGGACTTAGATGGAGTTGAATATTTTTTTCATGTATTTTGTTATTCATATAGCTCTTCAAATGTTTCGGTTCTTATGCATAAGTGGCTTCGAAATGTTCGGCTTTGAGCGTTTCTGATGAAGGTAAATCAAGAAAAGCTCTTCGAACGCATGAAATTTAGAAAGTGTTGTTTTCATTTCTTTAGATGTAAAAAAGTATTAACAAAAATACCGAACTCCAAGGTAATTTCAAAAACTGGGAAATCCACAAAACCGGACAATATCAAACGCTCGACTTATCAACAACTTCAAATTCGTTTGTCTGATTTTTAGCATCATTGCGGCAAACGTCACGAACTCCGTTAACCCAAAACGCTATATAAGATGGTACAATATTTGTTTAGTTTGAAGTTGTTATTATTTTGAGTTATGAAACATCGATTCTAACATAGACCATATACTATGCATAATAATTTTGTAATAACTTTTATGGAATCGTCGTCGTTTTGAAAAAAGTTTGAAAAGATTGTTCATTTTTCTATACCTATATGGAGTCATTTTCTTTCAGAACGATAGGTCATTCTTTCGAAGAATCAACCTGGACGATACCAAGTTTAAATGAAAATGCTTCAACGCATAAAATAATGACCTCTGTAAGGTCCTAAATATAAATGCAAACTATAATTTACTTACACATTTAATTCGTTTGATAGTTATCGTGTGTTGTTGTCAATTGTGAGTTTTCTTTAGGTTTAGGTGTAAGGCAGAAACAGTCCTTTCCCCGGTTAATTAGACTGAAATACCAATAATCGTCGTTGGCGCACATTTTAACTTTCGAAACAAATAACCTAATGTGAAGTTTTGTTAATTTATCATTACAATAAAGGGACATTATTTGAGATGAATTTAATAATGCAAAAACTTTTCATATTACTTTTAATTAAAACAAGCCAGATTTAACACATTCGTGAGTAGGATTTTGAAAATATTATTGATATACACTTTATTGAAAATCATTCTTTGAACTGTATGGATATTCGTTTTTCGTGTTACGCGTACATGTATCACGATTTCGTGCTCTCTTCATGCCAGTTCTAATCTTTTAACGTCTATATATACCTTTTACTCTATCAAACGAACAAATGACCAAATATTTCTATTTTCTATAGGATAACAGCCACGTACTTTATAATGGGTTGGGGGAGTCTAAAATTTTATCCTGATTCTCAGTTTAAAAAAAATTGCCACTATTGCCATTCAAAGGCTGAATAGTTCAATTCGTTAAAAATTGCTGAAAAAATAATTTGCTTTTCCGCGATAATAATGTCATGAGAAAGAAAAGAAAAAAAAATGGCATCCCCCTTTCCTAAACTAAGTTTGTAGAATAAATTACTTACAAAGTGACTTGTAATTTTTCATACACCGTTATCGGGCGGTAACTGTTCATTTGTGTCTTGCTTCATGCAGTTACAGTAATATTTTTGTTGTACCTGGATAATGATTTTAACAGTTTATATCTAGATTAATTACTGAGTTTCATTACTCATTATAAATGAGCTGTAGGGTGTATTTAAACCTGAACGCATCAGAAAAGAATATCCCACTTTAGTGTGGTCGGTAAAATAGAATGCAAATCCTGCAAATCTTTGCAGAAAATAATATTTTTTGACGATATATAAGTCAGATAATGCATATTTTAAGGTTTTTCTTGTAGTATAACACACCTTTGGGTGACAGGATTGCCCAAAGAAAGACCTCCCTACGGTCGGTTTTATTTGATCAATACTGACACCACTCGGTGTACATATAAACTTGAAGGGCCGTCGAAAATAAGGGGGCAAGGTAGTGTAACATCAGACTTTGTATAACAAACTTTTCGCAATACCTGAAATATTTTCTGTGGGCAAAATTCTGTTTTACTCTTTTAAATGTTATATGATTTAGAAAATAATTCATTAAGCATTAATCAGTCAACATCTAGACAAAATGAAAAAAAAAAACAATACCGAAGAAACAGACAATAATATATATATACAAAATACAGAAAACTAAACATTCAGACCTAAATCACACTACAATACAGGGTTTACTCATTTGCTCCAGAAGTGTAAAAGTTTTTTTTCGCTAGTAGCACCTTTCGTGTTGCTCGTTACCAATTCAATGATCAGGTATGAATGAGGAAAGAGAAAACAACACTGTGACTTTGATACATGCATAAAGCTGTAGTGATATGTGACATAGATCTTCGGTAAGCATAATGGTGTCTACAAATCTTTTGTAGATATGACTTTAATTTTGCCATTAACAACCATAAGTTCAGTAGTAAACCTATGTAAATTATGGCTAACGTATTTAATGCATATTTAATTTTTTCACCTGGTTTTGTGTAGTTATAACTTACATATTGAATGTTTTTCGTGTCTTTTTTTCAGAATTTTACATACCACTTTTATCGGTATATTCAAGGGTTTATTAGATTATAGAAATTTGATGATCCAAGACTTTCCCCATTCGATAGTAAAACCCATGATAAAGAACGGTGTCTCTTTGTTTATGCGAAATCTGTAAATAAGCAGTTATAACCGATGCGTTGTGTGAAGAGACTGTTACGCAATTTGTAAAGAGCCCTTGCAACATTTTTGTTCTAAATCACACATTAAAAAAAATATGGTCTTCAGAAACTAGAATTTCTAGGGTTTAAAGGCTATTTAAGCAAAGACCTTTCTGAATGATTCTTTGGTGCAAATCTTGTACACGTTTTTAAATATTTAAGATCGTGATCCTTGATTCAGTAAATATTGTATGTTCATTTTGCAGAGTTTTAGCAAGGTAAACAGTCGTCTAGTCAAATTATTACACATCACTAAATACGGCATTTGTTAAATAAAATGCAAGTAAAAATCTCTTAGCTTGTATGTAACAGTTTCGTTTTTCATTAACCAAAGAAATATGCAAAATCAGAAAGAAAAATACAATTGTATGATATCAATTTCACACAACACGTGTTACTGGAAGCGCCTTCATCGGGTTTGGTCGTTTCCAAACGTCCAAATATATGAAAAGTCTTTTAAAAAGAATTAAAATAAAGTCGGTCTAAAAAGTACAATATAGACCTCTAAGGTCAACTTAACCTGAGGCAGTTGCAACTTAAAATCACACATTTATAATGTGGTGTAAGAGGTTTTGAAAAAATACCGATATCGAAGCATTGGACATTAGGCTAATGGTGTCCTTGGCAGTCGACTAGCATCGCTACAGACTCGGTTATGTTGTAAAATGATGAAAACATATGATACCAATCTTAGTGCGTATATTTTTAATGTTTGCCCAACTTATGCCCAAGACAAAAAGTTTGGGAAGCTAAAAACATTTAACGTTTGTGAATATCAAAAAGAAAAGCTCAGACAATCTCAGGTCTATTTTGCCCGCTGTCATGAGTTGGAATCTTAGATTCAGTACAGTTAAATAATATTTACATTTCAAGTTTCAAGTCGAGTCGTACAAAATCAAAACAGGACAGTTGCAATAGCTCATTCAACAAATCATTACCGAAAGGCTAAACACCTATAATGATACTAACATCCCCCCTTCCTTGGATGTCTTATTACAAAAAAATGTAGACAGCTTACAGTTTACTGCAATAATGAACAATCGTAGGTATCGGATATTCTCTATCAAATGTTAGGTAATCATATAAGATATCTTTTGATAGTTTGCTTCAAAGATGAGTTGTTAACCCTGAACAGTGTCCCAAAATTTAGAGTTCATGCTTGAAGTTCAGTACACAGTGACAATATTTTCATTGTTAGAAACCCCATGGCTTTCATGATAATCAATAAAAAGCGTGTATGATTTTTTTCCACGTGAAAAAAAAACTAAATTGCAGACACCGCCTACCTCCAGATTAATGTACTAGTACTTTGAATGATTTATGTAGTGTGTTATATAGATATAAGATGATGTGGTATGAGTGCCAATGAGACAACTCTCCATCCAAGTCACAATTTGTAAAAGTAAAACCATCATAGATCAAAGTGCAGCCTTCAACACGGAGCCTTGGCTCACACCGAACAGCAAGCCCCTTTTTTTTAGGTCAATTCTATGTTGATATATCCCTTTTTGGCTACTAATACCCATGTATATTTAGTGTAGGTTGATCCATATATTCTTCTGGAACTATACTTTATGTAATGATTAAAAAAAAGTTTTAACAACAGTTTTCAGTTCCATTCGATGAATATTTTCGAAACCTATCAGAATGGGCAACTAAAGAATAAATCGATGTGGTATGATATGATCTATCGTTTATTTCATTAAGATCAAGGCATTGTTGTTTCACAGATAAATGGGTGTTTTTCTGTACAGGACACATCTCCCCATTCATAGTTATCTGCTGGATATTCCATCAGAAGACAGTCTTGGATGTTCCCAACATTGTTAGGTTGACCTTGATGGAAGTTTGTATAATGAATAGTTTCAGGATACCCGGTATTTGTCCATTTGAAATTATTTTCAGAATCCACATCGTTTCCATTAAGGTAAAAGCCATTCTGGCCAACAATGGTCAGTTCTAAAAACATATGTATAAACATCTTATATTTGATAAATACTTAACCTTTGTTTCGATATAAAACAATAAAATATAAATAAAAGTCTTGTCGCTACGAAAGTCCGATATAAATACACATAGTACTTGAACTTTTATACATATTTTCTTAGCGAGAATAATGTAATTTACATGTTTTAAAACATGTACACGAATATTTGCGAAGCTGAAATCCAAAATTGTCAATAGTAACTCTTCAAATACGATTCGTTTGTTGTTCGAAATAAAACGATTGAAGTACACAAGAAACATTGACTGCAATTAAAATAAAGAAATGCCATTATATGTCACGTTCTATTAGACAATTTCCTCCTTCAACTTAGGATTTGACAGTTTCAAATATTTGTTTTACGGGCCTTTTTAAAAAAAATGTGGATTTTCTTGTACAATCAATATTTCTAAAAAAGTGTAAATATTTTTATCCAATTTTTAGATACACAATTTAGTTTTTGGTGTGTGTAACAAGTTCCAGCAAATTCAATATGAAATTTAGCTAGAGAAGTTGCTTCCAGTGGGTTTCAAAGGGTCCAAAAAACCCCAAATTGCTTGTACGAAATTAAAAAACTAGTCTTTTTTACATGCTGGTTTTAATACCAAGCGGAAATTTTTAATTTTTTTTGGTTATTATGAATATATAGGTATCACTGCAGGTATGTATACACAAATACAGGGAATTATTAGATTTTATTAGCATTTTTTTTTACTTTTCATTTCGTACTTTAAAAAATAACAACTACATAACACAAATGAAATAGTGTTGCCAATAAACAACTGATTATATCCCTTGTAACTAAGGAAGTGCTCTCTACTAACTCTTCATCCTCTGATGACGTGCTAAAAGTTACAGGATGACATCATGAATTCATTTCAATGTAGATTAGTTTTGGTGAGTACAAATTACTCCGTAATTTAATTCTATGTCAACTTTGTAACGGCAAAAACATTGATTATGTTTTTGCATAAATATTTTTTTTTACATAAATCATTCAAAGTCTATAATACTGACTCTAATTCAATAAAAACCATTTATCTGGTAGTATTAGGGGCAAGAAAAACATCCGAAAACCACAAATAGGTCAACTACATAACGGTCAACTACACAACGCATCGAATCGTTATGTAGTTGACAGAAAGCGTTATGTAGTTGACAATGCTGAATTAAATTGACTTGAGGTCACCTTGTCGGGCTAATCATCGAACCTTATACTATGATTTAGCATCCATAATTTGAACTTGTTTATCTATTTGCTTTCTTAAACAGAATAATTGTTTTAAAACTTTTTGTGGTGTTTCCAAAGGTACATTTTATCGTATTTTGTATCCGGTAGCCCTGTACCACTAGAATTGGTTGCTTGGTGACTTTTATATACCGTGATTTTATAATGCCGTGAAATATACCTTTAAATAACTGTAACAGGTAACATTTTATCGTATTTTGTATCCGGTAGCCCTGTACCACTAGAATTGATCAGAATTGGTTGCTTGGTGGCTTTTATATACCGTGATTTTATAATGCTGTGAAATATACCTTTAAATAACCGTAACAGTTAACACCAATCGTCTGTGTGATTGATGTAGACATCAGTTTGTAAATATAATGATTGTTTATTGATTTTCTGTCAATCAGTAATAAAGTTTATGTATGCGTTATTTCAGAATCCTCGCTACTTGAATTTAGGATAACTGCGTGTTAAATTTTTGCGTGTGTTTTACCAATCAGCGAAAATAATACACAGCGAAAATTTAACATGCCCATTTTGCCATTAAATCGCGAAATAAACCAGACGCGAAAAAACCCCGATATATATACGGTATATATAAAACATGGTTTCACTTTGCTGCAAAAAATCTGTAATTTTTATTTTTTATCATTCCAGCTGTAATACAAACTAGCTACGATCGATCGAAAGGTAAAATGGGTCTAACAGTGAAAGAAAGACAACAACGTTTTAGGGACAAATTAAAAGGAGACCCAGACAGATTAGAGGCCTTCAGGGCAAAGGAAAGAAAGCGGTATCATGACTACAAAGAAATTGGTATGGTTAAAACTATAAGCGAGATGTCTGAAAGATCAAAAAGAAGTAAAAGAAGGAGATGGAGGTTATCAAAGAATAAAGAAAGACAACAAAAAAAAGACCTTGAAAACGACTTAACTCCACCAGCATCACCAGCTCATATAGAAATGGTAATTCCACAACCACACACATGTTCCCGTCAAAAAATCCAAAGTAAGAAAAAAAGAAACAGAGATCAAGCAAAATGCTATAGAGATAAAGCTATATTAAAGAAAAAGTTGGAAATCACAAAAAGGAAAGCTGAATTGTACAGATTACGTGTACATAGAATGGAAACAGAGAGAAGAAATGTAGATTCTCCAAGATCAAAGACAAAAAAACTGCTCAGAAACTTTTCAAATTATGATGCCAAACACTGTAAAGTGAGAAAAGCTTTAAACTTTCACCATGCACTCCTCAAGCAGCTAAGCGAGAAGTACAAATTAAATTCAGCTAAAAGACACCTATCTGAAGCAATTGTGGGAAGAGTTATAAGAAAATACAAATTTGTTTCTGAAGCTAGACGTACAATTGGAGTACGAGGTGGAAAAGATAGAAGACAAAAGAAAGGTTCAAAGACTGTGAACATGAAGAAAGCAGTCAAAGAGTTTTTTGAGCGTGACGACAATTCACGAATGTCGACAGGAATGAGACAAACAGTTACTAAAAACAAAGAGAAACGCCAAAAAAGATTCATGCTTGATACCCTTCAACATTTGTACAGGAAATTCAAAGCAGAGAGATATGAAACATGTAAAAGTATCAGTTTTACTACATTCTGGAGACTGAAACCATTCTGGGTTAAATGTCCTACAGAAAAGGAACGAGAAACATGTTTATGTAAAACATGTGAGAACTTATCATATATGGCTAAAGAGCTTTACGGAAATGATGTGATATCAACAAAAGATATTTCTGTTCTAGTGGAACAGGTTGCATGTTCAACGGACAGTATGAATTGTATGTTTGGAAACTGTAAGATGTGCAAGGAAAAACAGATTGATCTCAAAGAGTTTGACCAAAACAAACTAGTAACTTGGACTCAATGGGTTACAGAAAAAGAAAAAAGAGAGATAAAAGGAGACATCAAAGATGTAACAATAACTAAAAGAAAAGAAGAAGAGATAACCGCAGGCGACTTACTTGACAAAGTCCATGATGAACTTTGGCTCAAGTATAGGAGACATTCGTTTATGATTGATAACCAAATGAACCATTACAAAAATGTTAAAGGGACATTGAAACCATCAGAATGTTTTTTGCACATTGATTTCGCTGAAAACTACATCGCAAAATTGGCAAGAGAAATTCAAAGTAAACTTTTTGGTGCATCTCAGGTACAAATTTCTCTTCATACAGGGTATTTCGTTACAGGAACAATGACTTCTTTAAAGTCATTCTGTGGCGTGTCAGATTCATTACAACATGATCCCATCTCAGTTTGAGCATACTTGAAACCAATATTGATGCAAATTAGATCTGAATATCCAGAGGTAGATACACTGCATTTTTATAGTGACGGGCCATCCTCCCAGTACAAGCAGAAGATGAACTTTTATTTATTTAGCACAGAAGTATTTGACCATGGCTTCAAGCAAGCATCATGGAATTTTCATGCTTCAGGCCATGGCAAAGGAATTCCAGATGGAATAGGTGCATCCGTCAAAAGGTCGGCAGATCTAAAAGTGAAACATGGAGTAGATATTGTAAATGCAACTGATCTCTGTAAACAGATTTGGGAAGCTAATAGTTCTGTTAATGTTTATCTCATCAAAGAGAAGGACATTTTAGACATTGAGTCAAAAGTGAGGTCCTGCAACCTGAAAACAATACCAGGAACCATGAAGATACACCAGCTATTTACAGAGAAGATGGGTAGTGTCTGGTATCGATCTGTAAGTTGTGAATGTTATGAAAAAGTTTGTGATGGCCATGACCTGCAACCATTCACCCTTTTCCCGATTTGTACTGAAAAAACATTCGTTAAACGAACAAAGCAGATTGAAACGTCTGAAAATGAAACGAAACCCAAGGATGAACCTAAGAAAACAAGAATCGAAAATGATACTGTTGATGAGGACAGGACTGAAGGGAGAAGAAGAGAAGGCAAATACAGGAGATTTCTGAAATTATTGCAAGCATGTGAAACATTTGATGAACTGCAACTGAAGGGTGTTGAAATTCATGAGCAAATAGAAGAGGTGAGTGGGTCTGCAAGAAACAATGAACATTATTCTACAGATATTTTGTCCGTTGCACTTCTCCCAACAGATTACGAAACAAAGGGGGATGTACCCGTGACAGTGAGAGCAGATGGTGACTGTTTGCCAGCCTCTGGCAGTATGTTTGTATTTGGTAATGACAAACACCCATCAGAAATTAGAACCCGAATTATCATAGAACAGGTGATGAATGCAGAGTTCTATCTAAATGAAGATAATCTTTTGAAAGGCTATGATAGAAGCAATTTCAAAACAGGCACATTGATAAAAGGATACACCATGTATTCAGACGAATACATGCATGGCAATCACATCACAGAGACAGTGATAAAGGAAATCTATTCTAAAGAAGTTCTAAAAATAACAAAAGAAAGAACATATATGGGCATATGGCAGATCCATAGTCTTTCTTCAGTCATTGGGATGATGATTGATTCTATCTATCCTGAGAAAGGCAATCCGTCAGTCAGAAAACATCTTTGTAGACATATATATCCACGAGAGGTACGTTCATCAATGCCAGCCCAAATTATGTGGACCACAACTAGGCTTGATATGAATAACAATAACTGGGTGCCCAATCATTTCGTACCAGTCTTGCCAAAGAAATCGTCTTTTGAAAATGTTAGAATAAAAAATGCGTACAAAGAGCTGTTGATTTTGAGATCTCAAAAGCAACAAAACAAAGATAGCGGCAGGATTGAAGACAATACAGTAACCATTGATGCCTGTATTGGAAGTCATGTGCTTGTATTGTATTATGGTCAAGTATATCCTGGTCTGGTTGAAAATGTTGACATGGAGTCTCAGATGGTTTTCGTAGAATGCATGCACACAGTTGGGAAAAAAAATAACAACTGTTTTTCGTGGCCACGAAAGATGCGTGATAGAAACTGGTATGATATTGATGACATTCTCAATACAATTCCACCTCCCGAGGCTGTGAAAGGGAATGATTCACATTTCAAGGTTAATGATTCAGACTGGAGAGAAGTCATGGTACAGCTTGGTATAAAGGACTTTGTTTAATTACTCGATCCTCTGAAGATAGACTCTTTTATTAACTTTTGTTGTTGTTTGAATATATGTTGTTATCAGTCGTCAGTTCCATTGTCAGAAGTTTCAAGTTTACTTTACTCGTGATAATATTGTCCTAAATATGCTATATGTGTTTGCTATCTGATTCTTTTCAATGAAGGTCATTTTTATTCTTGTTAATCTGAGATTCGATTCGAGATTGAGTTCAAGGTTCATTGTTAATTTTTTATTTTCTAGTCAATTAACAGCAAGAAATGCTTTTTTGTCAACCACATAACGATGATGTCAACTACATAACACATATTACAACTACATAACACTTGTCTAATGTTGGTGTTTGTGCCTTATAATACTTGATTTAATCTATTGTTGATAGTTGTCAATATTACAATTGTCATATATTTCAATTTTATGGTAATTCAATTATAAAAATATTATTTTGGTGCAATCTATACTGAGTTTTATAGTTGATTTACACAAGTATTCTGACCCTTCCATTAAAAATCTGCATAATGTTAAAAATATGTTTCTAAAAAGTGTTATTTTAACTGTTTTGAAAAAAGTGTGATGGTTTTCATGGAAATATATATCAAGCAAAATGTAAATATTATTAAAAAAAATTAAGGGACCGAAACTAAATCCGTTATGTAGTTGACATTTGTCACATACTTGTTTCTATTTTATTTTTTTAAATATGTTTGTAGTAGCATTTAAGATTGCATATTTTTATTTCAGGTTGTATTGTTGTTAAACTATTCAATTTCATTTATTAAAGTTGAAAATTGAATATTTTTTTGTATAGTTATTTCACAACTGAAATATCCACATTTTTTGAAAATGACCCTTACTACACTTGCGACATTGTTCTCGTTAATAAGACATTTATAGGTTTCATAACTAGTGAGAATTGGATATAGCTTGATATCAACTCGAGAGTTCAATTTCAATGTAATAATAAACGAGCCTTTGGCAAGTTCATTATTACTATTTATTTAAACATTACGAGAGTTTATATCAAGCGATAGCTAATTCTCAGGAGTTTTTAAACCTATTTCTTTTATGGTCAACACTCTCATGATGTTAAATAAAACATTCCGCGATTCGTGAATCCTGTCTTTTGCATATTCATACCAGTATGACGTTCTATGTCATGTTCCGGTGTCTAACTTTAACATCAGATATTTTAAAACTTTGTGTATGCTTCAGAATGTAATAAAATTTGCCAAAAATAAGATTTTCAGGTGAAAAGTGTGAGTGTTTTGTATATAACTGATAAAAAAAATAACGTATTTATGTTGACGAAATGTACAGCGTTTTAACCTTTGAAAGTCATCAATGACCTAACGAATAGCAAATGGAAATGTCGTAATAACGTCGGAAAAACCAATGAAATTAACGCATTTATAGTATCACATTCTATGCAGTGTGATACGAGAAATATTTCTTCGAGCGAGAAATAGGTAACAGGCCATAACCATAAGAGAAATGGCAGTTCCTGATTTACACAATCAGCATATCGTACGGACAAAGTTAGATTCTTTAATAGCTTCATAAAAAAAAATGAAATTCTGGTAAGAATACATACCAACTTCAGAGTTGATCAAATTTACAAGGAATGATTGTTCTGACGCACTTTTGATGACAGCCAGACTTGAACGGGGATTTTCTTTCCTACATGTTTCCTGTGCATTATACCAGGTAGCAGGTGTTTTATGAAAAGTATAGTAGGACGTTTCGTTAACCGTTCTGCGTATAAAAGAATCTGCAGGAACAGCTGGAAGATCTAAAAAGATGCAAAGAAACATATTAGTCAATTAGATATAAAAAAAAAAAAAAAATTTACCAAACTTAAATTCTGTTACGCCAGACGCACGTTAGGTCTACTTAAGACTCGTCAGTGGTGTTCGAATGAAATCAGCTTGCAGGCCAAATTAAATGCGAAGTTGAAAAGCAATAAAAACACTATGTTAAACTATCGCATTATATAGTTGAACAATTATATAAATTATAAAGTTTGCTTTTACAGTACAACAAACCACCACGACAGTGAATAACGTCAACGTTCTAGGAGTTACCCTCGGTATATGATAAATTCAAAGCATCAATGTATGTGTTACTCTCGCTGTGTACTTGAGGTGAAGATGAAATTAAGAGTATCCATTGACTACTACCTGTAGGAAATAATTTAATTCATTTGAGAGAGTCAAATATTAAGTCAGAATTAACATTTGCTCTCCTTAGTCTAATGAATAACTTATCAGTTTAAATATTTCATGTTATATTTTGCAATCAAAGTCCCTTATTAGTGACCATGATGATGGAGCTTATTTCCTGTCGAACATTTTAAATACTACTACTAATAATAATAAAACTGAAACCCAAATAAAAATATCCTAAAATTTTAAAAAAGCTTGTATGATGTCTTATGTTTAGACAAGAAATTTCATCAATCGATATCTAATTATTCATAGTCACTGGATATGATGAACCAACGTAATAGGAACATTTGAATTCACTTTACTTTTTGGTGGAGTTCTTATTTTGGTGTAGATTTTATGGCTTGTTGTACGTCTTTTGCCGGTTTCATTTTGGTCAGTACGGTTTTGTCTGTTTGCTTCGACGTATGGTTTATGATTATCTTTAGAATGTTTCCTACCTTTTCAACTGATGAATAATCATAGTACAATTATTTTATAAAATATCACCTACAAATATGAACGAATTCAGAATGATAAAGGGGCCTCAGTGGCCGAGTGGTCTAAGTAGTCAAACTACTGTATCACTAGTCTGTCAACACTGAGGTTTTGAGTTCGATTTACGAATGTGGGTAGAAGCGCTAGACTTCAATCTTAATAGACTAGGATTGTCAGTTTTCTCTCTGGGTACACTGGCTTCTTCCACCAATAAAAAATGACCGCTTTGACATAGCACACTTGTGCTGAAAGTGGCGTTAAACACCAACCAATCTATCAAAATGATTGAAAGTAACATTTATTTCCTATAGTATTGTATATCTGTTTTGTGTATGCAGTTAATTGCTTTTGAAGAAATTACTTTCAACTAATGGTTATCTATTTATACTATAAAACATGTGACTTAAATAGATTCTGTGTTAGATAAGTACTTACTATTACAGGTAGTATTATAGATGTAAAAATCATCTATTGCGATATTACCATCATCATAATGATATATATAGGTATAATGTGAATTCGAATAATGGTGTACTTTATATGCATGGTACGAGCCCTCAAATGTTATCTGTTGAAGACAGAGAAAGACATTATAAAAAAACAATGAAAAAGCACGTTATAAATATCATATAAGAGATACAAACTATACTCAGTATAATACACTTTGTAATTATTTAACAGATACGTTCGTAAAAACATTGTTTTTAAAAGTGGAAAGGCACAAGGCAAAAGATTAAAAATGTTAAAATTAATTTAGGATCGTTATCCATGTTATTACTAAAGATAACAAGTTATCTTTTTATTGAAATCATCAATGACTAAGGTGACTAGGGGTTTTAAACTTAAGATAGATAATTTTCATACCTTACACACTGTATTTATTTTGAAATAGGGAGGATGCTCTTGTTGAATTAAATGTTTACATAATTCAAACAAAATGGGGTATATGAGAAAAATGGGAGAAAGGATGTCGATCTCGTTTTCCTGCTCGAAGATGGACATCAAAATGTTCCAAATATATTTAGTCCAAATAATTAGATAACACATAAGAACGATGCAAGAAAATAAAGATTCAAAGCTAATGAACCATATGATTGGGCTATTAAAATGTGACTTTAGCTTACTTGAAAAGAAGATTTCGTATATTCAGGTCCAATGTCAATCTGTGCTAGGTGCCAATAGGGATCAGCATTTCCAACACGGGTGTATATTGGATAACCTCTTCCTCCATGTACCTAAAATGTTGGCACTTATTTGAATATAACTTCAAACGAGGACGAAAGACAGGTCATGAGATATCTACAATTATCATATGTTTTGTACTAATATGTACGTTTTTGTATGTCCAATAATAGCCGGAAGTCGGAGTCGGCTATGTGTATTCGGAGCCAATATTGGTATTTGCCCTCAAATACCAACATTGTTACATCGAATTTAAGTTCCAGTAAAGCTGTCAATAAAAAACAATAAATAAAATATGTTATAAACAGATCAATTAATACATGGCACTTTCCATATTGTCAAATATGGAAAATGCCATGTAATATTTTATAAATACAAACTATATTGAATTAATCACTAATGATATTAGATATCTTAATAGGAAAATATGATCATATAACCTAAAACTTTAATGATTCTGGCATTTCATTATTTTTAATATTTCAAGTATATTGCTAAGTAACAACTGAGTACAATGATGATGTCAAAAATAACTTTTAGTTCAATATGCTACAAATGAACTCGCAATAGACACTAGGATTAATTTTTACAAATTAAAATACCTTTGCATATACATTAAGGGTATCAACATCTTTTCCAAACATAGTATACCAGAAACGAAGACAATAGTTTGAAGCTGGTTTGAATGTTGGCGAAGTTATACGACTGATCGTGGTACCAGCACTAGACCTAGGAGTGTTGATGGTTTTCAATGCCATATAATAACCTGTCGATATATAAGCTCTTTGATTAATATTTTGAATGCAATTTTCACTGGATGGATGGATGAATTGGTGTTTTACGTCCTGTGGCAAATATCACATACATAACATGACGATAAAATGTAAGCGTGATTTGAATTTGAATCCTGTTTATACTGGATCGACACTACTTTTAACGTGCTAGTTCACAAGGAAATATATATGTCACCCTACCCGGAGTCCGAGTAACCAGTCGTTGTTCTTACTCATTGATAATACGTGCGATATTCTCACGCTATCACGGGACAACTGAGGCGGGCATTTATATATTAGTTTGATGTTACATTCATTGATGCAGCTAAAAAAAATAATGGTCCCTAAATAGCTATAGCTATTGGAAAAGTCTGAATATAATTTGTGCGGCGTAAAATTTATCCAGGTTTTACAATTCAAAATAACACTTCATTTAAACTGTGAGCGTTCGAAACGCTTTCTGGATTTACCTCGATAAGCAACGCTTAAACCACCAAAAATGTAAGCCAAGGATGTTTCAGTAATTAGCTTATGAGCAAAAGGGAACTTAAAATATCCAAACACATACACACACATATATACATAATGTCAACTATGCCCCAGCGGAAGTCTGATAAAATTCTAAATTTATTAACGGTGAATTAAAGAAAGTTGAAAAAAGTTGTAAGCTCTATTTTGTTATTAACTTAACCTGCAGCATGAATGATTTAGAAAATTTTTATTTCTACCTCTACTTTTGTACAAAAGTAGCAACTTGAAAGATAGTCAGATAAAACAATTCAAGAAAAGATTGACAAAATACATGTTCTCGCAAGAATTGGCTAGCGTTGACGCCTTGACTTGATATTAATAAAAATATGCTTTAAGTATTTTTGGTGGATTTAGTTCCTTTTTACACTAACAGTTGAAGAACGTTTGGTTTATCTTAACCGGTTATTTTCAACCTAAGCAGTCTGTAAATTCGATTTTGATATTATATCAATGAGTAAAAAATACGAACCATAGCCATTCCCATATGAGTGATCAGTCTTTGGTCCAGATTTTGACGAAATTGATGACGACTGTCGAGTCCAATCGGTGTTGTCGTCACGGTCTTGTGTAAATCTACAGAGGTCAGTAGGCTGGAAACTACAGTAAAACGTTGTGAAGTCCGCCACAGAGGCTGAAAAAATAAACTTTTCTCGCAATAATTATGGAATGTATAGAACTTAATTGTAAATGATCGTTAGTGTTAAAGCTGCGGATTAATATGGCAAACAATTCTTGAATTTTGATTCTTCTTCACTGTGGATTCATTTATTTACGTGGGTACCAATTTTCGTTGATTCAGGAACTTGTACTTTCGTGGATATTTGATTTTGTGGTTAGTTGTGCTAAAGTTTACATTCAAACCTACCGAAAATATATACTGAGGTGAACATTTAAATTTGTTGGAAGCCTATACCTACGAAAATCCACAAAAATTGGTATCCCACGAATAGTAATGAATCCACAGTATTTGTAAATCTGCGAAGACTCTTAATAAAAACGTTTTCTTAAACATTAGTTACTTATTGTTTCGATAAGGGCGTTTTACTAACCTTTTTGGGAAGTCTGCGTCACACCCAAAGGAACCTGACATGTCGCCAATTCGCCGGTCGTGTTTTTCAGCTTTTCTCGCAAGCCTTTAATTTCTGTTGATGCAGTCTGCAATATTTTAGTCACTTCTTCATTGGTTCTATTCAAAATGTCTTGCTTTGTATGTAGTTTATCTAAGATCTCTAGATATTTCTGATTTTCTCCGTCTGGCTGACCTTGGAATGAATTTGTCTTTGGTGAAACGTTATTCAACTGGTTTTTGAAATCTGTCATAGATTTTTGTAGTTTGTCAACACGAGTTTGAAGATTGTTAAGGTCATTGGATACTTTGGTGACGTCATTACATGTGCATGCCCCACTAAGATCTCGAACTTCAGGTGCTGGATTTATGTTGCCTCCATGACAACTTTCTACGCTTCCTAGCTGGACATTATAAATACATTTTCCGTTATAAAAACTACATCCTGGAGTGAATTGTTGTCCATAAGTTTCACTTAAAATACAAATAACAAATGTCCAAATACGATATGGAATCATCATATTGGTAGTCTATGACACGTTTGTTCCTACCAAAACTATAATGTCTGTTTATCTGATCTAGATAAGGTTGGTTTTGAAATCGTAAATGGAACACTATATCAAAATTTAAGCTCAGTACATTACGCATGAATAATATTAGATAATATAATATTTGTTTCATGGCCGTGATATATCGCTACATACTTTTTTAATCAATTGATTTTTTGGTTAAATGATTTAAAACAATTCGCAAACAGTTTCAGTTAATTTAAGACATTTGAACAAATTGATTTTCAGATTGCACTGGTTTTGTCATCAGTGTTGAGGGAATAAAATTATAACAAGTATGCGTATAACCCCGGATTGTATCCCCAATTCGCAATCTCGTTTTTCATTTATAACATTATACTGCATGAAGTTATTATAGTGAGTCCAATTACATTTATTGCGACAGAATAAAATCTTGTACATTTAAAATAAGTGGAATTTATGACTTTTTTGTTATGCCCATTAGGTTCTGTAGCGCATTTATGTACTATTATTGACTTTTCAAGCCTTTAAAGCTGACTCTGAGCGCTCATAATGACGGTTCATCAAGAAAAATTCTTTGAAAGCAGCAAATTGCTTTTAATAGATAAGGCATTTAATTTACACATCTCAATTGATACGTTACGCTCGAGTATGTTTACATTATACTGACTTTATTTGCAGGGATTTGCTCCTTATACAAAAAATGCTCCAACAGATTTATTAGGAAGGACGACTGAAATCGACAATATATAAGTTATATGGTCACCGTCACAAATTGGTTGTCGAAACATACAAGCGACATTTTTACTAAGTCATAGATCTTAAATTACCAGAAAAGTCTTTTAATCTGTATTTTTAATAATTTTATGTGGATTCGCAAGGCGAGTGGTGCATGCATAGCAAGAGACAATTATCCTGTCGACGCACAAGGTCTCTCTCCTTTTATAGTATTTGTTTGTTACCTTGATTTGTCTTCTTAATCGATTTATGTGATTTGAAAATTGCAAAAGAAGTTCTAAACTGAACCATATTTAATATACTTTCTATAAATTTCTCCAAAATTTATTTTCCCTTCTCACCAGTGATAAAAATGTATCAACCAAAGTGACATGTTCAAAAGCATTCTATTCCATTTGCTCTCTAAATAATAATCATTTACCACAAAACAAAGTATGGATATTTGGTAGATATTCGCCAGACAAAAGCAATAGGTATTTTGAAAAAAAAATCGGGAAGATTACTGCAAATTGTCTGATAACATCGATACCACACAGCAAATTCAAAATAGGCCATTATATTTTCTATCTTGAATTATGAAAGTAAACTATATATGTATATCATTAACACACATTCACGAAATAAATGAAATGCAGACAGAAAGTAGTCAAAGGTAGTGTCAGTTAAAGGTTTTATTATTTATTAAACTATATTACATTGTTTTGTTTACGACAGGGTAATGCAGTGTTAAAGGAGATTGCATCTCTCTCTCTCTCTCTCTCTCTCTCTCTCTCTCTCTCTCTCTCTCTCTCGCTTGTCTGTTCGTTTGTTAATTGTAAATTGTAAAAACTTCACTTTCATGCATTTATAGATAAAATCAAAAGGATACCATTTCAACGACAACATCCACAGGCCTTTGGAAAAACTTCCGGTGTTTATTGCGAAAAATATAAGATGAAAGTATGCAAAACTAAGCTGACTAAAACACTGTATTTAATATCCTTTCCCTAGTATAGAATTAACATATTTACACTGTTTTAGATACACGCAAAATGCAAAGTTCAGAATGTTTTCCAATGTTCTTATTCAAATGTCACGTTTGCAATTTTGAGCAGTTTGTTTCAGCTTGATTACGGCAGATAGTTGACACTAACAAATTGTCACAACAGCTGAATAGTTACATTCATCCAGTCAGCATGTTGTCTGAATGTTTTTTCAATTTCACTGTTTTCCGATTATCATTTTCCTTTTCCTTGTTATGTGTTGTTTCTACCACACTAGGGTTAGCTTTCTCCTGAAAGTCTAATAGATTGAAATGTAATTTTGACATATACATGCTAACTTGGAAAAGATCACCCTTTGACACCTGGGCTACTGGTGAGATACGTCTCTTGTAAGGCTGTTCTTGGCATCCAAACTTGCAGGTTGCTATGACAACAATAATAATAACCGATAGAATACCAAAAATAGCAAGTCCTAGTAAGGAAGTTCTTTCCTCTAAACTAAATTCTTCTGTTGAATTACTCATAATCTGGAAAATTTAAACAAATATCTGTGATTACAAAACTGAAAAAGCATCTACAGGAACGTATTGTATTCTAGATAAGAGGTCATCGAGAGCCTCAATCGTTTACCTGCCAGAAGGACCACCCCTTTTTTCATGTTTGTTTTTTCTGTCTGAAATAAAATGCTTATTTCTATTTGTATATATTGAAAGTTATTTATTGATTGACAACAATTCCAATGAACAGTCAATTGACAGTTTCGGTCACGAGTTTAAATGTATAGATTGTCTATATACAAGAGGGGTGGTATTATTGCCATGCCAATATAGCAGGATCAAATGACAAGGATGTAAACAACTGTTGGTCAACGTTCGTGATCCAACAATGTGCAAAACGGATGATGATGATGATGATGATGATGATGATGATGATGATGATGATGATGATGATGATGATGATGATGATGATGATGTCATTTTATGGTTCCTAATAGGAGTATATTGATAATTGTGTAAGAATTGGAATAAGAATAGATTCAAGCTGTATTGCAGATCAATCTATTTTTTTGCGGTGCCTATTTATGTTTAATAATTTTTGAAATAAGATAGGCAAAATCATGAAAATTGATTTTAAATCATGATTTATTACCATATCTCTTATAATGTACAAAATTATGGTTTCAATCTTTCTAGTAATGTCATAGTTCCTAAATTGATGATTAATGGATGATGTTTGCCGTTTCTGTTTATATAATGTAGTTTTCATGTTTTTAAGCAAAATCACTGTTTGAGTCCAATAAATATTGTATCAAAAAGGATATGTATATTCGGTACTGACATGATTTATAACAAACATTTCTAAAATTGTTCGTTTATAAATTTTGAAATTATAAAGAAACTGAGATTTCAACTCCCTCAAGCAAAGTTGACCTTAGAAGGATTTGGCTATTTTTAGGTACTTTTTGGTCATATAATTCTCCACCTGTTTTGGTTCTTATACATCCTTGGCTTTCAAATATTCGGCTTTGGGCGTCCCTGATGAAGGTAGATCCAGAAAAGCGCTTCGGATGCATTAAATTTTATCGTGTTGTTTTCATTTTTTTTTTTTTAAAGTATAACAAAAATACCGAACTTCAATGCAAATCCAAAAAGGGAAAGTCCATAAAAGCTGACAAAATTAAACGCTATCAATCAACGGAACAAGTGGAAAACAAATGCCATATTCCCGACTTGGAACAGGCATTTTTCGGAGAAAATGGTGGGTTAAACCTGGTTTTATAACTAGCTAAACCTACCATTAGTAAGACAGTTGTTTATAGTTCCGTCATATTATCAAAATTGGAAAATATCATATAAAGTTAATGTAGATGAGTGAACACGGACGACGGCAAATGCCAGGTGACGACAATAGCACATGGACATTTGGTCGGGTGAGCAAAAACATATTGCAAAAAAACTAAATTTTATGTTGTCAATTTGTATTAATTCCAGTATTTTTTTATCCTTAAATTAAAATTTGGTATGTTTACAACACATTTTGAATTTGATATGTACACAACACATTTTCAATACTCAGTTAGTCTCACACTACTACTCACAATACTAAACATGTTTATAAATAAAACACACACAATGGTATATGACGGTTCTAAAGCAGACAAAACTTTATACTAAAATATCACAACTCATTCCTTTAACGTAGATATTTTGTCGATATATGTCTAAAATAACATTGACTTATATTGTACCAACACAGCTGTATTAATAAAAATAAAACAAAAGATATGATAATTGTTGTTTAAAATGTTGTATGTTCATATTATTTGTCAATATATATACAATGCAATGACAGACTACTAATACATACGGTTTAAATCATGCATTCCTGATTCTAGGCCAAAATAAACACCGACTGTAACTGGAAATAAAAAAAACTGCTTATTAAATATCAATTATCATAAAATATTTATAATGCAATTGATTTTCTATACTACACTTGTATTAAGTTACATAACGTTCGCTAAAGGAGATATTCAGCATTACCCCTCAATCATTATATTGCATGTAACACTATCGATTCAAACAATATTTTTTCTCTCTCATAATCAGGTAAATACTAAAAAAGTAAGAAGGTACTAAAATTATATTTCGAAGAAGGAAAGACATAAAAATCCATTATAAGTAAAAAGATGAAACGTTAATCAACAGTCAACGAAACACGAGCGCTTATCTTATCATTAGACATCACAAAATGCATAAACTATTCTTATGCCTCGTTCACACGTACATTTAATTCGAATTGAATTCGAATCGAATGCGAATCGAATTCGCTAATCGCGTTTACACACTCTTCTTTTTTAATTCGAATTGGCTAAATCGCATTATCCATGCAATTCGCATTAGAAATGCGTTTTTGTTAATACGAATTAAAAGTTAACGTCGTTAGGTCAGTAAAGCGAATTTGATGCGCAGTGCAATTCGAATTAGAATTAACGTTTGCACATTAAACGTTTCGAATTAGTTAATGCGAATCGAATTCGAATTACGTGTGAACGCAGCATCATATGTAAATAGTGTAACCTTAAATTATTAAAAAGAGCTATTCCCGGCGTGTAGCTCCATACAAATTAAAAATTTGGCAATGAGTAGCAAAAATCCTTGAGTTCATCTTTCTTTCCATTGTTTCATATTTGACTTTCTTTGGTATCTTATCGTCTATGTGCCTTTCAAGCACCCCTTTAATTAAAAAGTAAAATAACATAAATACCGAACTTCAAGGAAAATTCAAAACGGAAAGTCCCTTATCAAATGGCAAAATCAAAAGCTCAAGCACATCAAACGAATGAAAATCAACTGCCATATTCCTGACTTGTAATGCATAATTAGTGATATGACTCATTTTAACTCTGACCTCTTTTACTAAAACTATGTACGAGATATATATCTTGCAAAGTCTTAGCCGTGATAAAGGACATTTATCATTTCTTAATCATTGGATGCAGTTCTAAGTAGTAGCCATGAAAATACAAATTGAATACCACAATAACGATTTAGAAATTTCATCTTCTTTTATTATAGTTAAAATATTACTCGCTTTTTTTCATTAATAAATCTCAGTTGCATCCAGTTTTTAACGAACGTAAATGAAAATCGAAATACCATTTAAAACAAATACACATATCAAAATAATGGTATACTGTAAAAATATACCACTGATCTGTTTGATAATCTGTACATTTCCTGAAAATAAAATTCGACAGCAAACGGTAAAATGTCAAAACAGCAAATAATTTATTACACTGCGTCAAAACTATAACGGACTTCAGAACATAAATATGAAAAAATATCAATAGATCACATTTGAGGTTATACCTACGTAAGGATAATCGAAGTTTCAGGTACGTTGTCTAGTAAAATGACTCTTGCTTACAAATCAGACTACCCGATCAACTAAACTATCATATATTACTATCATAAAATGATATCTAATTATTGTTGGAGTATTATCATCGACCCCCTGATCAATCAAGTTTAACTGAACGCCTAGAGTTTATTCTCTGTCGGTTAAGAGTTGAATGTGAGATAAATCATAACATCAGTTCCATGGTCACAAATAAATGTCTGTACAAAGCATACAGCAAAGTTGTCAATTTGTTCGGTTTTAAGCAGATTATTACAGAAGCAACAAGGGTTACAAACAAACTAAATCATTGCTTGACCATGTTCTATGTAATTGAAGTGAAAGATTTGACAGTCAGGTGTCATCAGTATTGGTCTTAATGATCATTTTTTTTAACCTATTGCACAAGAAAACAACAAAAAAGTGTGTTTTAAGCAACATAATAATGTGACAATCAGATCAAATAAGAACTATGACAAAGAGGAGTTTTTTGGACTTTCTATCACAAGCTGATTTTGGTAAATGTTTCTATTCCTATAGCATCAAGGAGGGATGGCTCGCATTTAAAAACATTTTTGTGTAGACATATAAGACAAGGTAGTCCGACGAATTAAAGAAAGTCGTGTGAAACAGAAAACAGAACAATGGATAACCCAGGAGATTTTAGACAATTTCCATCAAAGAGACTTTTACATAGCAACTTTTAAAAAATCTGGAAAAAATGAAGACTACAAATCATATTGTAAAGTACGAAATTTAGTGCAAAAAAATGTAAGAATGAAAAAGCTGATTATTTGATGACAGCATTGATGAAAACAAAGGAAATCCTAAGAAACTATATGGTCTCATTTTAAAAATATAGGATATCAACAAAACGTTTAATCTGATTGTAATGTCATTCTCAGCATTGAAGAAGAGACATGTTTTGATAATGTTAAAATAACCAACCAGTGTAACAACTTTTTACCACCATTGGTGCAAAATTTGTTAAAAAAACTGCCGAATCCCCAGAAGGTTTTTCATGAGCTGCATGAATCTAATATTGTGAAAACAATTTTATAAAATACGAAAACAACACGTTGTAATTTCATGAGTCCGAAACGTTTTTCTGAATTTACCTTCATCAGGAACGCTCAAAGCATAACATAAAAAAAACAAATGAAAATGTGTTAAAACATATTTCTAAACATTTTGTTTTCAAGGAGTGTAATCTTTACATTACAAAAAGCACAGGTCTAGATGGAATACCAGCCAAGTTTTCATATATGAGACACTGCTCCTATTATAAAGATTCCTATTACTTTTTTGATAGATATGTTGATATCAGTTGTGCTTTAAAGCTTGCTAAAGTAAAACCTCTTTTTTAAAAAGGGGATCGATTAAAGCCTGAACATTATCGCACTGTAAGTATGTTTGTCCCCAGCGCGACGCGTTTAGGGGGACATACAAATACCTGGCTTCCGTCCTTCCTTCCGTCCGTCTGTCCGTTAGGTCTTGTTAGCACTCTCACGTGTACAATTCTTGCCAGATTTTCATAAAACTTAAATCATATGCTTATATCATCAATGTCTCGGACAAGTTTGCATTCTTTTAATTAACATTATTTTGGTTTATTTTTGGAACTTATCATACAACTATGCATTGAACCGTATACATCATGCCTAGACGTTATTTATCATGGATGCATACTCTAGTTTTATTTATGCAAAGTATGAATAAAAATAAATAAAAAAAATTTAAAGGTCTTACATATCTTATATTTGAACATTTCATCTATGTAAATGTAAGTTACCTCATTTGACATCAGTTAACCTCCTTTGAGGTCAAACAACAATCGTAGTTATGAGACATTGTCTTCCATTTTGACCAACAAATGGAAGCATGATTTTGATTTAACATATCCCTTTTTACAAGTTTTCTAAAATATTCATTCTTCACCATATATGAAACAGAGTTGATTAGTTTTCCGATATTAACTGCTAGTTTTTATTATGTCTTTGCGATAATGTGAATTAATAAGTTTCTACCAAAGGACAAATGAGTAATGCTGTTTCTTTGATACCAATGAGATCTTGTCAAATATTCTACATTTTGACTGGGTAAAGTTTGCATTCTGATAAAAAAAATAAAACCAGACTGAAATTTCAAATCTAAAATTAAGCATTATATTAAAGCGATAAGGTACTGACCAACAACATGCGGACAAAAATAAGTCTCATTAAAATAGTCTTGGAAATAAAGAACTGTTCATGATAAAAAGAAACTGTTCATTATGCATCCTACTGAACAAAAAAAAAAGTCTATACCTACAAACCTTGCCTTCCTGGTCATCTAATCCAAACATTATAAAACATGAAATAATTTTGAATCATCGTTAGGACAAAAAATATAAACAATAAAGAATCTATATGCAGTAAAAGTATAAAACGATATAACTATAAAGTTAAAGTACCATAAATATATCTGACGTCAGCCACTTTAACTTTATATTATTGTGTTGGAGCCTGTAGTTGGGTATTTGTCATTGGTTCATGTCTATCATATTTGTTTTTCGTAAATTGTATTGTATAAATTAGGCCGTTAGTTTTCTCGTTTCAATTGTATCACATTTTTTATTTCACGGCTTTTTACAGCTGACAATACGGTGTGGGTTTTTAATTCATATTATGAAAGCTGCACTGTGGCCTATAACTGCTTTTGTCTTCGTCATTTGCACTCTGGTGGATAATCATCCAATGGCATTCAAACACACACACACACACACACACATGATAATGTACCTACAAAATGATTGCAAAAATAGTTTTAGGTCTATGTCAAAACTGAAATAATCATATTTATTTTTGTTTCGGGCAGTTACTTTTAGTATACGTATCAATATGTGCATGAGATGACAAAATAATTTTATAAGTTATATTATTGTACTCAGATTAAGAATTTAACTCCCTCGGGCAAGTTGATCTTCTACGATTTTGGCTGTTCTGTTTAGGTAGTTTTTGTTTCCAATAATATTGGATATTCTGTTAATTTGAATTCCTAAGCTTTTTGATTCTGGACGTACGTACATGAAGGCTATTCCAGAAAAGAAAAAAAAAACATTCCATAAGTTCTGAAATCAGTTTCATATGCACGCTTTTCTATCTTTTTGCAACAACAATTTCTAGGGTATTTGTCCAGGATTTCTCCGAAACATTTACCCTTTTCCAATATAAAGTTTAGAAGACGTGGTATCATTGCTAATGAGACAACTCTCCACCTGACATAAGTTAGAAAAAAATGGTTTTACAAATCAAAAGATAAAGTGTATTCTTTATATGTACGATAATGCTCACTATACAGATGTTATTGTACAGCAATTGCCTGGCAGACAGTGCTATTCCAGTAACAATACGTATGTCATTATCAGTAAATTCTTTAATCGTTGGAAAATACATCCTATACCTGCCTATACCGGTTGACTGTAACCAGCTCAGTATTGAGCACTCCGGTTCTGGCAGGAAAATACGGATTTTTGTTTTATTTTAATTGGCTG